GGGGGGGGGGCGAGGAGCGGGGCGAGGACTGCCTGCCGGGGCCCGGGACGCGGGCCCGGTACAACACGCAGGAACCCGGGCCAGAGCCAGACGCATGCGCGCCCTGGCCCCCCCCCCGCCCCAGCGAACAAACAGGCCTTGCCGGTGTCCGGCCGCGGGCAGCTGCCTCCAATGGTCTGGGTACCACATCGCTCAACTCGAGGAAAAAGACCTAGGCTTCGGGGGACCACGGCACGGGCCGTTCCCCCCCCCCCCCCCCGGAAGGAGCCCGGCCCTCGGAAAAGGGCACAAACAGGTCCGGCCCGCACCCTCTGTTTACGTGAGTCCGGAGAACCGACAGCGACGACCGGCGAACCTCGAGACCCTCCAACAGCCCGGTGTGTGCGGAGTGGGGGACCTCCTCCCGACCCCGAGCCAATCAAGAGACCTCCCCCGGGCATGCTCGCTTCCCAAAAAAAACGGAGTTCATTATTTAAAATGCGCCTTTCTTGCACCTTTTGGCTTTCTGCTCCCCCCGCCGGAGTGCTTGACGATCCAAGCGGTAAGCCTGGGTCCTTGGTCCCGGCGACCCCGGCGGGAGGGGCGGTCGGGGGGGGGGGAGGGCCGGGGACACGGAGGGATGTACCAGCCGACCACCCTGGTACCTTCCCCTGCACGCACATGCTCCTCTGCACTTCACCCCACCACGGCCAGCATTGATCCATGACTGGGGTCGGGAGGGGGGAGCTCACAGCGCCGCCGGGTGCACACGGGGGCCGAGCCGCCTGGAGAAAATAACAGAGGGCGGTGAACCCCTCGCCCCCCCCCCCCCCGCCGCTCAGCCGCCCTCCACCCAGCCACCACCGCAGGAGGGCGCCCTTGGTGGAGCTCACTCCCGGAGCCGCATGACCCCCTCTGCCGAGGAGCACCCTGGAGAAGCTTTCTTGCCGCCCCCCAGAACGGCCCCCTTTCACAACACGGCGCGCACCCAACCTCCAAATGCACGCGTAGAGCACCCGAGGACAGGACCTAAACCCCCGGGTTTCATGTATTCGGCGGGCGAGTGACCTCACATGATATATGAACTCATCGACAGATTGCCCGCCACCCAGCTGGTGTGCACCAAGCGAGCGGGCTGATCGCCTGCGGCGCCGGCTGCCACGAACACCGGCGCCAGGTGATCAGCCTCGGGATGGGCCTGACGCTCATGCTGGTGCAGCGGGTGCTGGGTGAGGATCCGCTCGCGTTCGGCGCCCGTGTGCTGGGTCAGAGTGGCGGTGGTATACTCGTCGAAGGCCGCGGCCCAAGGAGCCGGGGGCGGGGCCTGCTGGGCTGCATGGCCGAAGCTCAGCTGGCGGAGGTTGTGCACAACACCCCCGGAGCACACAAGCAGGACATTTTCCTGCTCGAGAAGTGGCTGCAGCGCCTGCCCGAGGCGGATGTGCTCGGCCGCGTCGTAGCCCCCGATGAGGGAGAGCTGGACAATCGGGATCGGCGCGCGGCCCGCCGCGTCCGGCGGGAAGGTGATGCTGAGCGGAGACCATGTGCCATGGTCGTGGCCGCGAGAGGACGTGCCGAAGGCCCGGGCGAAGCCGGCGTCCCTCAGGGCGCCGAGGATGCGCCCGGCCAGGGCCGGATCGCCGGTCGTCTGGTACTTATACTCATACATGTGCGCCGGGAACCCATAGAAGTCGTAGATCTGCTTGGGATGGTCCTCGGTCGTGACCGCGGGAGAGTTCTGGGTCGTGTGTGTGTGTGTGTATGTGTGTGTGCGCGCGCGCGCGCGAGAAAGTGGTGTGAGCGAGCGACACCTCGCCTTGTGGGTGGGCTTACCAAGAAAGAGGCGCCGGCCGGAGAGCAGGCTCATCATGTTCAAGTCTCATACCTCGGTCCAGTGGGCCGACACGCAGATGATGGCGTCCGGCTGCCGCGGGAGGGTGCGCGAAAGCTGCTGGTAAAAGTTGTAGGCCGGAAGATGGGTCTCAGTGTAGAGGGCCGGGGAGCCATGCGAAAGGAGCCAGATCGGCAGGCGACTGGATGCAGACATGGTGATATCGGGTGTGGGAGTGGGGGATCTGGGCTTGCGTTTTTGTCGGGTTTTTCCCCCCACACACCAGAGCATTTCGGGAAAGGTGATCTTACATGTGTGAGGGGGGACGGGAGGGAAGTTTGAAGAGGGGCCTTTTTTGATCGGGTGTGCCGTGAAATGATCCGGGAAACTTGGGCGCACCTTCACAGACACAAATACGAATCGGAGTCAGGAGGAGGATGTGTGTGTGTGCGTGCAGATTGGTGGTGCGGCTTGGAGGAGGCCAGAGCTTATATACGGGCCATGGGGCCCCCTACCCAGCCCCCCCCCCCCCCCCC